TTTCTATTTGGAGAATGGCGACAGCATGAAGAGCCATCTTCTCATCTTTTTTTTTGTCCACAGGCAATAGATTTATCTACCAAAGACTTAGCTGTAATTGCTAAGTACACAATTCAGACATTCACACCACTCCAAAACCATTAATGGGGTTCTTTTTCACAGTAGTCATGAGGTGATAAAAATCTGACTGCACAACCATACGTATGCTGCTCTTACTCACACATCCTGTTGTTGAGCGAAATTTTGTTATATTAATAACATCCTCTTTAACGGCATGAGCACGAATCAATCTAAAACTGATACCACCGAGGTGAGTAATCAATTTTAGCATGAAACAAAAGCGCAACTTTCTCCCAGTCCATCAAAACACTCCAATACCTCCAGGGTTCTTACGGCAAATGATTAACAAAAAAAAACCCTTGTGACCTTTGCTCGTTGCTGTGCTCGTCTGTAAACACCGCACTCTGTGAATGCACTCGAGCCACCCACCGTTACACTCCATTCACACGGTCCAAACTCATTTTCCTTTCCATGTGTACGATTTTTTTCCCCAGCACAACTCCATTGTGAAAGTAAAACATGAAGAAACAAACACGCGCTTTACGTCACGTGTTTTCACCGAGCCCAAAATAGCTTCCACCAACATTTTTTTTTAAACCCAACCTGAAAAATATATATGCATTAAACGGTTCAATATTATCTCGTTTTGGCCTATCCAAACCTATATAACTCTCATATGCACACAAACGCAGTCAAAGAGTTAGACAACTTGGATAAGTAATATTGTTCTTTTCAGATGTCATAGTTTGTGTGTATACTGTATATAAACAATTAAATTTACGTCACAAACCCACTACCGATCTGAAATACACACAAGTTTGTGGGGTACGTATTGCACAAACTACGTACAGTTGCAAAAGAAGCTCAACATACATACATTGCTGCGTTCTCAATATAATAAAATTCAACCTGTGGGGCAAGTTCGTAACTCATTGTAATGTGCATCTTTTCCAAAATATCGTCACGGTGTAAGGATTTTACAAATCATCGCCGAGTTAAATATTCGGTCACACATAGCTTCAGAGGCAATTCACAAAATGAATGCTCGTTACGGAGGCAAAGTATCAAAATCCCAAAAAGCACCGCAAAGCCTGTTATACATGTCCAATTAAGATTTCAGTCGAAACAACTTTTGAGGAAGTGGCAATGAACAATTCGCGTTAATGCGGTTTCAAAATACAAAAGCCGAAAAGCTGAAGTCACACAACTCGCTTGGATTTATGTTCAACGCTGCAGGACGTAATGGCGACTCGTGTAGTGGCAGTTTGGCTGTACAAAGGCTGCTTTCACACAAAAAATAAACACAAATCATGATCCAAAAGGAGCCTTATCCTACATTTTCAAACTTCTAACACATTTTATTGACGGAAAAAAACTATAGAACTGTAGGCCCACAAGCATGCTGTCATGATTTTTATATTACGGCCATTTGACTGGTCACGCTTGTGGCCAGGAAGGATTCCCCACTGGGCCTTACGTCGGTGCGAATGGAGAATCGCGGAGCAGAGGTCAAACTCGCCGAAACTGTACACGCAGTAAATAAGATCTTTCAACTGTAACCCATAAGCCAGTTTAAGCCTAATACGCTAACAGACTTAGTTTTAATGTTCATCAGAGGACAACAATGTCATTCAAAATCCGCTACGCACCCTTGAGATATTTACGTAAACCAAATGGGAAGCAATGTTTCATGAAAGCATTTTATATTATGGTGGAATACTAAAGTAAGGGGCTAATTAAAGCGTCTTATTCACAAAAGACATTCAACGAGAATATGCATGCCATTCATAAAAAGTTTCCACGTACAGGACACGATACAACTCCGTGTGCAATGACATCTCGCGGCAATTACCTAAGAGTCTTTTGGCGCAAATGTACCATCAGCACAAAGGTTGCCATTAAAAAGACAAATCGAGACGTGCAGAGAAACACACAATTCATTCTGTGAGATGCTGCAATTCTCATCGCCATATTGTACGGTACTGCATTACTTCAACCCTATCTCGAACTGTGCTCTGTTCTGTGAGTGCAGTTAACAGAGATACCCAAGTGATAGTAATGATGATCTCTGAATTACATTTATGAGCTAAACGACACAAACCTTCAATTTTGATATGAAGCTTTCGTGACTGCAGGAATCCATACTCTTTGGTTCTTTCGGTAAAGTCACGTAGGTAGAAAAATATAATAAAACAAAAAATAATATATCACCAAGTTTCGATCGCAACACAAGCGGTCGTCATCAGGCAGAAAAAAATAATCCAGCAGTGGAAACTGCTGAACCAGCGAGAGAGCTGTAACAGCGAGGACGACTGCTGGTGTTGCGATCGAAACGTCGGGATATGTTATTTTTTGTTTAATATTTTTCTACCTACGCGACTTTACCGAAAGAACCAAAGAGGACACAGATTTGCAAGTGACAGTACACACGTCTTGTTGCTACAATGTAAAGGCGCTTTCCCACAGTAAACACTGAAACGCTTCACGATATTGTAAGCCAAAAAACCTGCAACTTTTTACGAAAACAGAAAAAAAATCATAATTGACAATTTTAAACTTCTGCCAAAAAGTATGCAACATGACTGAATTCCTCAAATCAAATACAGATAAAGCTCAAAGCATTTCACGGTAATATAACATTTACTTTTTGTTCTGCAGTGCAAACTGCACCGTGGTATTTGATATTTTCATGTTTGCCGAGGCACGATAAGGTCAAAAACAGGACGTGCGACCCGATAAGCACAGAGCGGCTCATCTCGCAGCACACTGTAGTTACGAGGCACCACAACAACGAGTGAAAGTAATAAAACAAAACACCTTAGACCTCGCGACTGACAATCAAAAATACCCCAACGACGACGGCTCAGACGACAACTTTCAAGAGAGCACGACCGAACGACGCCACACGCAAAATAAAATGTGCAAGCATTTCACCGAGGTGCAAGCGGACGCCACAATATTATTGCGAGCGCACAACTCCACACCCGTGGTTTTATCAATGGACAGCTGTTCTCAAGCAGAGCAGAGGCACAAGTCTTGCTGACCACAGGCGGTGGTGGTCAGGTGACGTCATTGAGTGCCCCTGTTCTGCAGCATGCGAGTCAACGACACCGGGGGGGGGGGGAGGAAAAAAAACCCAAATGCCATTCGCCATCTCACAATGCTCTTAAAATTTTGCATCTGCACAAAATGACCTTTTGCACAAGCTTGCACTCAACAGCACATTTCGTGGACCACTTAAAAAAAAAGTATGAACTTATACTAACTCGCTCGGCTGGACGGGTTTTTTTTTACCCATTGAAAAAAAACTGCTTCATCAAATCAGCTGACAATCACGTGAAGCAAACAAGTAAATTTCCAAACGTTTTCCTCGAATTCAGCAGCACAGAAAACACCCTTAACATTTGCTGAACCTCCTGCCATAAACCGCAAGCACATACGTGTAAGCTGAACTGCATACACAAAACTTTTTTTCGTTATTTAGCAACGATCAGCATATTTCCTTGGAAATTCACAATAGTATTTACACTCATACATTCTTAATATTATTTAGCCACAGAACCCTGTCTGCATCCACCTCTACACAGTACAGTATGTTCAATGGGCGCTACAAACAGGCACACTACACACCGTATAGGATTACAATGCCTCTCCACCTGATACTTTGTTTTGAACAGAAATGTTTTATCTGGCAATGCGACAATATATTTCATTAATATGCATTTACTGCAGGAAACAGCCAAACACAAGGGCCCCTAACACAATACGCATCGCATACAATCATACTTAAATACAGTGCTCAATTGTCTGCTATTAATATCAATGCGAGGCTAAATTCGGGACGTTACATTTTCGATAGCCACATCCTGGACCAGGGATGGGAAACCCCAAGACCTTCTGGCCCACACATGGCGTTTCTTTACACATCTACCATATGCTAGATGCGCCAATTTACAAGTGAGAGTGCGCATTGGAAAGACAAATGGCATCCTTGCCTTGCAAAGCCTTGCAAGGCCCAAAGCTGCTGCTCATCCCTATTGATTTACCTCAACGATTTCTTGACGCCCCATTTCTAGGTGCCATTGTTCATCCACTGCCGTATTAAAGATCTGGCCATGAGGCGCAGTGTCATACAGCGAGGGTTCCACTCGCTATGTTAAGGTCATAAGTTCAAATGCCGGTCAGATGTCGACCTCAACATATTCAGGGCTGTCAATGAAGACGAGTGTTACATGAAAGCATTTTCGATGTAGAAAACTTAAGCAGTTTGACTTTTTGTGAATTTAAAAATATAAGACTTCTCCATAGAAGCATCTTGATTTCATGATGCACCAGACCATGGCTCCAACAGAAGCAATAACAGCAGCTATCCCAAGTGTTTAATAGTGATTTGTGCATTCAAATTATCATTGTTTTTTGCTTTTTTTTCAGCTATATGTCAAATATTTTATTGCCATTACATAACTGAGACAAATCTATTTACATGCCAAATTTCACACTGAGCACATTTTCTTGTTTATGAGAACAGGTCTTGGGAGACGTCACGTAACTATTTCTCAAGTCACTTCAACAACCTCTTACCTTCACTTACAGATGTCACCTTTTAAAAGCCTCAGAAAAGGGAGTTTGTCATAAGTAAATAAAAAAAAATATTCTCAGAGCAGGAATAAGCTAAAGTCAAAACAACATTTAGTATGATGGGGTAGGGGGGTTTGTACAATCCTTGGTTGCCGGGATAAGCCAACCGGACTAAATGACATCAAATAACGTGGTTTGACCAACGGGTGGCTGAAATCCAGTATCGAGCCCAGGATATCTGCGGTGCCGGCTCGGTTTTCTGACAGTATCAGTGCCCCGAGCCACCTTGAGGATGCTCCCCACCCCCCATCGCATTGTGAGCACACCAGGGGCGAGCCGACAGCAGCAGGCGCGAGGCTCACCGCGCTTGTAGAGCCAGCCCTCCTTCACCACCGCCACCTCCGCCATGGAATCGTAGTCCTCCTGCCGTGGCTCTCTCGGCCTGCTCTAAGCACTCCGCCACAGGGCCCTCCGTGCACCTCACACGAGCATGAGCGACGCGTCACTCCTCACCGCCACGACCACTGCAAAGAAGATAGACGAGGTAAGAAATATGGATGACGCTGCATCGTTGCGGGTTTTTCTGTCAGACGCAGCAATTTCATTGACATTTTATGCCTCTGCTGCTGGATAAGGTTCATTACGTCTTCATGTCCCGTGGATTAAAAAAAAACATTTTCATTCCCGTTTTCTGTTGAGGTAAATGATTAGAGTATTTATAACGTGGACAGTTTAACATAAATACAAAGAGTACAATTCGAAAGTAGATCTTGTCAGTACAGTAGAGTGCAGTGTTAACCAGTACAGATCATAACCCTTCAACGTGACTTTACCGAAAGAACCAAGAATATAACATAAACATTTAAGACATCACCATACACAAAAACCATGACTATGAAATAACATGACCATGTGTTCGGTTTACATACAGCGATAGCTGAATACATCACATTCACGATGTAGGCGACTGAGCAGAGTTGCATTTGTCATCTTGATCACTCACTCGCTGTCCATCAAAGGCAGTGAGTGGCTTAACATCCACTTGCAATCACAGCCTGTCACACCGGGTGAGTGAGCACACGTCAAAATCAACCGTTATTTATTTATTACCAACCCATTCCCACAAAGCCACCGGCAGACTTTAAATATTAAACAAAACACTTACGCGACAAACTGAAAAAAACGAATGCGCACATTTTTAACGTAGAGAGAAATGAGCCTTGAAGCGTTAAACACAACACAACACGTCGCAAGCAAGACGCAAGAGCTCGGCTCACAAGGTCCATACCACACACACACACCCCGTTCCACCACCAAACACACACCGTACCACCACCACCACACACACACACCGTCATCGGCCGGACACACGTCCCCGACTCCAGCTCAATTGACAAGAGACCCGGCCGCGGCCCCAGAGTGCGCCCCTTCGCAGCCACGGGCGTCACGCGTTGTCGGGGGTGTCTCTTTGGCCAGGAACCGTGGCCCTCACGCACAACCGGGGAGCCAAGCCACCCACCCACCCACCCGTTCCCCCACCCGCCCCGTTCACCCACCCCACCACCGCCGCCTGCCCGCTGGGAGTCCTGGGACCTGGGAAGCACCCCGCCTACACCCCCCACTGCCTGGCCGGCCCGCCCACCCCCCGGCGCTCCAAGCCTCACCACCGGCGGTGGCGGGCCGCGTGTTGTTTTGTTGTTGGGCGTGGAATGTGATCACTTGATCACTCACCCCTCCCCCGACCGCCGCCACCCCCACCGTAACACACAAACTCGCTCGCACACAAACAACCCCCGGCACATACTTACACACCCAAGGCCACACACAAACAAGGGGGGAGGTATAGGTCACAATTTTACCCTTCTTACAAGGAGGGCCCGCTTCCCATCTTGGCGAGTGGCCACGACACTGTACTTTTTGCCCAGTTCTGGCGCGGAAGGCCACTTTCGACGAGAAATTTCCAATCTTTCAACGGGAAAATGGCTTTTTTTTGGGGGGGCAAGACTGGAACCAAGATCACGCCACGCACACACAAACACGCAACAGCAGGCGCAAGCCACCAGCGGCCACACACAGGCAAGGCTAAAAAACACACGGCAGGTACTCGGAACTCTTCACCACGACTGCACACGCGGTCACAACCACACACACAAACACGGTGGGATGGTGGCGGGGGGTGGGGGGTTCTCGAACGAGCGTCCGTACACACCGAGGGATATCAACAACGTTTCACAAGCAAGATATTAAATTTTGAGATACCGTATGAGCACACACAATGAGACACATTGCGAAATATGTTTACATTACAGTGAATCACTTACATATTCATGCAAATATCTTCCGTGAACAGGCTAACAAACAACAAGGTAGATAATGACAATAAGCTTAACACGAAGGCTGGTGGGAAGTTTCACAATCCACCTCTATTCAAAACAACTTTTTAACCACTGCTTGTACACACAGACTGGAACACAGACCACGCCACGGATAGGAGGAGCGTCGCAGGTAAGTAAGCCAGGTAGGTTTCGTGCAGGTAAGGCAAAGGATCAAGTATCCAGAGAGGGGAGGGAGGGTGGACAGGAAGAGGCGTGCAGCAGGTAAAGGTGTGCCCGTCCAGGTGTGCCCTCCCAATTCGTCAGCCACCTTGATTCACGTGCAGCACAATAGACACGCACACCTGGCGTGAGACAGCCCCCTTCTTTAATCGCAAGTCGAACAATAGGGAAACCAAACGCAACGCTGATGGTCCAGCACTTATAAATGTGTGTGCTCTCACACACAAAGATCCCCCGTATAACCTGAATAGACTGTTGGGGCAGGTGCTGTTAGCGAGCACCTATGAAGGCCGACACTGCACACGAGGGGGTGGGGGTGGCCAGCACCACGCCCGGCCGCCTTTGTCTCCCCAAGTAGTTATGTTTACACATACCAGGTACTCATTTGAGGCTGAATCGACCAAGGCGAGGCCCAGGAACGGTTCAGATAAAATAATCGGTCACTGGTGTTGACCGTGAGCGGAATTCCAACTTGGGTAGCCGGGTTCGTATCGCAACGCGCTAACCGCTCCACACACACAAACACACACATCCACACACACGTACATACATGGGTATGCTGATGGAGACACCCACATCATTTACACACAACTACAATGGTGTACTCGTACACACATGTACACATGCATGTACATGGGGTGCAATACATCTACAATTACGGTACGAGGGTGTAAGGCTGAACGATTTTAAGTCAAGCTTCAGTTCAATATTCGCTGTGTAATAGATTTAAAACATGTGATGGAGCATTACCACGTGATACCATCAAAATATAAACTGCTCTATATATTGTAACGCAAGGATGAGAACTTGAAATATATGATTTGCTTCCAACATGTATTTATTCAAATGCTTTAATTGAAATAGAACAATCAAACATAGAACAATTGTTACGTTAAATAAAAAAGTTACAATAATACAAAAATAAAACAATTCCAATAATAAGGTAACAGGACTTTTCAAATCGCAACCTTTGCGATTTGCTCATCGCATTGTTTCAAATTTCGATTTAAAATCGATTAATCGTTCAGCCCTACGAGGATGTGCTCATAAACACACACACACACCCACATATTTACATGTACAAGAGCTTGCTCATACGCAAACTTCCCCACACATGATCGTACATGTGCCCACTCGCACGCGCATATTACTACACGGACATGTACAGAAGTAATCACATGTTCACATATACTGCACACAAACACAAGTGTAAGCAATGTATTGTGCGCACACAAACGAATCGTCAGAATACACACACGGGAGTTCACAAAATAGCAAAACAGGTTTCAAACAGCATAGAACAAAAATACATTAAGCACAACTTTGTACATTTCACGGAGACAATCTAAAATGTGCACCACACCAACACAACAATAAACAACACGCAATTATATAAACACAAATCATTCATAATTGTGTTATTTTGCGTAAGATCGTGTAGGTATACTGCCAATGTTTACCATGAGCGGGCACACACGAACACACAGACACACGGTAACATGTGGACACCACCTTAATCAAGTAAACAACACATCCTGTCACAAACAAACACCTCCAACACTTTCTCCACAGGCTGAGCACATAACCGGAAGAAAAAAAAGCTGTGAACCCGGAGTCTGATGACCAGAGAAAGGACGAGACACCTAGAACCCAGGGTGACACTAGGGTGAACAAGGGGACCCGGACATGAGGACAGGACCCCGAGCAGTCCCACGGGGTCTAAACCCCCAAAAAGGCTAGCCACTAAAACTCGGGAGAAAACCACAATTTCAAGACTCCACAACTCTTCGAGATGACAACTTCGACACCACAGCTCTTATACTCCCACCTCCCAGACCCAGACACTTAGCTCCCAATTCCAGACCCAGGCCCTCGGGGTCCGGAGCCAATGTTATGGGTATCGCTCTCTCGACACATGACCCCATATCCCTGACCCCTCACCCCAGACCCCAGCACAAATATTCCGATCGCTGGACCAGTGGCTCGATAACCTCAGAATCTGAATGGTTTTTTTTCCACACTGGAGAAATGCGATGAGCTATAAAGCTCTTTTTTTCACATATCCATGACCCCACAATGAGCAAACCCCCCCCCCCCCCCCCGGGACCCCATCCCCGCACAAAGACCCCCGCGATGAATCCGATGAGCTATAAAGCTCTTTTTTTCACAGACGCATAACCCCCCCACACAATGGGTGACCTTCCACGCACCAGACCCGCTGGCCCAGCACTCCGGCTCGAGGAGGGCAGCACTCACCGGCGCTCCGATAGGGCCCTGGGGTGGCTGCTCCCTGTGGCGTCTTCGGGAGGTCACGCCGGCGAGATTGAGGAGGAGGACGACGACGACGACGAGGAGGTTGGTGGTGGTGGTGGCACTGCCCCGACTTTCGAGTGCTCTCTGCACTCGGTGTACTCGAGTGCTTGTTGTGCAGACAAGTGCCGCGTATCGAGTAAGCGTTACTGTCTGTGCACTAAGTGTCGGGTGCTTTGTACAGAGTTACTGTGCAGCAGCCGTCTGTCTTGTCTGCTGCGTGCTGCGTGAAAAGGATGCAATGCACACAAAGGTCCTGCGGTGTTAATAGTTGTGTTACCGTATGCTAGTTGTGCTGTGTAACCGCGTGCTGCGCATACTGTATGATGATGTGTAACTCGGTGTATTTTGTTGCGAGATGTATTCGGTGTAATGGATGCGAGAGGCGTGGTGTACTGCCCACTTGAGTCTGCCTGTGTGTACCACCACCTTTGTGACAAGTCCGTGTGTGTTGGTCTACGCTGGCGAGCTGGTTACGGTCAGCGCGTCAGTGTACCCGTGTGTGTGTGTAGTGTAAAGTAGTGTGTGTGTGTACCCGTGTGTGTGTGTAGTGTAAAGTAGTGTGTGTGTACCCGTGTGTGTGTAGTGTAAAGTAGTGTGTGTGTTCCCGGTGTGTGTGTGTAGTGTAAAGTAGTGTGTGTGTACCCGTGTGTGTGTAGTGTAAAGTAGTGTGTGTGTACCCGTGTGTGTGTAGTGTAAAGTAGTGTGCACTACTGATGTGGTGTTGTGACTGCCAGCCACTCTCTTACGAATGCAGCAGAGTGCCGTGAGCTCCGAGTCCCGTGAGCCCGACGACTCACGAATCCCAGAGGCCTGTGGGCACCAGTGAGTACTGTGCTTGGTCCTGCGATCAATGATGAGGTTACGAGTTAGCACTGTGTCCTGTGGTCCCTGGTGAGTGCTCGTGAGTTCTAGTGATCTCTGGTGAGTACTAGTGAGTGCTCGTGATCCCTGGTGAGTTTTAGTGATCCCTGGTGAGTACGAGTGATCTCTGGTGAGTAGTAGTGAGTACTAATGAACCCTGGTGAGTACTAGTGAGTGCTAGTTATGCCTGGTGAATACTAGTGATCTCTGGTGAGTACTAGTGAGTGCTCGTGATCCCTGGTGAGTACTGGTGAGCACGAGTGATCCCTGGTGAGTACTGGTGAGCACGAGTGATCCCTGGTGAGTACTAGTGAGTTCTGGTGAGTATTAGTGATCCCTGGTGAGTACTAGTGAGTACTGGTAAGTACTAGTGAGTACTGGTGAGCACGAGTGATCCCTGGTGAGTACTGGTGAGTACTGGTGAGCACGAGTGATCCCTGGTAAGTACTAGTGAGTACTGGTGAGCACGAGTGATCCCTGTGAGTACTAGTGAGTACTGGTGAGTACTGGTGAGCAAGAGTGATCCCTGGTGAGTACTAGTGAGCACGAGTGATCCCTGGTGAGTACTTGTAAGTACTAGTGAGTACTGGTGAGCAAGAGTGATCCCTGGTGAGTACTAGTGAGTACTGGTGAGCACGAGTGATCCCTGGTGAGTACTAGTGAGTACTAGTGAGTACTGGTGAGCACGAGTGATCCCTGGTGAGTACTAGTGAGTACTAGTGAGTACTGGTGAGCACGAGTGATCCCTGGTGAGTACTAGTGAGTACTGGTGAGCACGAGTGATCCCTGGTGAGTACTAGTGAGTACTGGTGAGTACTGGTGAGCACGAGTGATCCCTGGTGAGTACTAGTGAGTACTGGTGAGCACGAGTGATCCCTGGTGAGTACTAGTGAGTACTGGTGAGCACGAGTGATCCCTGGTGAGTACTAGTGAGTACTAGTGAGTACTGGTGAGCACGAGTGATCCCTGGTGAGTACTGGTAAGTACTAGTGAGTACTGGTGAGCACGAGTGATCCCTGGTGAGTACTAGTGAGTACTAGTGAGTACTGGTGAGCACGAGTGATCCCTGGTGAGTACTGGTGAGCACGAGTGATCCCTGGTGAGTACTAGTGAGTACTGGTGAGCACGAGTGATCCCTGGTGAGTACTGGTGAGTACTGGTGAGTACGAGTGATCCCTGGTGAGTACTAGTGAGTACTAGTGAGTACTGGTGAGCACGAGTGATCCCTGGTGAGTACTAGTGATCCCTGGTGAGTACTGGTGAGTACTGGTGAGCACGAGTGATCCCTGGTGAGTACTGGTGAGTACTAGTGAGTACTGGTGAGCACGAGTGATCCCTGGTGAGTACTGGTGAGCACGAGTGATCCCTGGTGAGTACTAGTGAGTACTGGTGAGTACTGATGAGCACGAGTGATCCCTAGTGAGTACTGGTGAGCACGAGTGATCCCTGGTGAGTACTAGTGAGTACTGGTGAGTACTAGTGAGTACTAGTGAGTACTGGTGAGCACGAGTGATCCCTGGTGAGTACCGCGCGCAGTGCCGACCCGCGCGCGCCACGCACTGTACGCGTTGCCGCTGCCCGGGCTCTGGGCTCGCGGCCTCGGGGCCCCTCCCCCCTCCTCCTCCTCCTCCCGCCCCCGGGGCCCCTCCCCCCTCCCCTTACCCCTCCCCTTACCCCTCCCCCCTCCTCCTCTTCCCGCTCCTCTCTCCACCTCCTCTGCCCCCGCCCCTCCCACCCCCTCGCGCCGGCGTGACGTCACGTCCTGCGCGCTCGCGCCGGTAAACAAAACTCGGGCGGCGATCGATTAATCGGTTGTCGGTGACGTGACCGGCAGTCGAAGAAGTCACCGACGATCGATTAGTGTATCGGCGGTGACGTCAACTAGTGAGGTGACGTTGCCGCCGATCGATTAATCGACTTCCGGTCACCGATAGCCGATAAATCGATCGTTGTTGACGTCACCGCCAGTCGATTAATCGCTTTATCCCCCTGTCGAATTTATCGATCGGTGGTGACGTCACCACCGATGTGTTTGAGGACCCCCCCCAACCCTCCGAAAGCGTCGAGCGGCCAGCAACAAACAGCACTGTTTTAAAGTTGTGATTAGGCTTGAGACGTCAACGCGTTTCTGTAATTGTACATCCATTTGAAATAAAAGGATTCGAACGAGACTTTTGAACGAGCACTAAATTATCGAACCTTAAAATCGAATCGAGGAAATTCGTCCAATCGCCGCTGGGGGAGTGGATGTTTAACTTGCTGACACGCCCATGAAAAAAAAGAGCTTCACAGCTCATCTGATTCCTCCAGTCGAAATAAAGATTGGGAATCTTCACGCGCTTTTGCGCGTATTGTGCTAAAGCGCGTAAAGACGTCACGATGTAAATGTATTATACAGCGTCCAAAATACTTTACAAGGGTGGTCCATGTGTCGCTTTAAGATGTTCTCTGTTCAAATTTAGTTTGTTGCGGTTGCACCCGACTTAAGAGCCGCATGGCTCACAGGGCTATACCTAATAAATGAAACTTGATGTCTTCTGACCCCCATTTAAGTCTCTGAAGCATAATCTTTTTAGCATACCAATGGGTGTGAAAACAGAAATGAGTAAGGGAAGGATCAAAAAAATGTTAGGGGGTTAATTAATTGGAGGGGGGGTCACAATACGCCTGGACCACCCTGTAAAGGCAATTCAACTGCATCTGAGTCGCTTCGCAGAAAACAAAAACCAAATTGCAGCTAAATGTTGACTTAAAGCTTTCGTGACTGCAAGAATTCATATTCTTTGGGTCTTTCGGTAAAGTCACCTAATTAAGTTCAAAGAAAATAACAAAACAAAAAAACTACGACGTTTCGATCGCAACCACAAGCGGTCCTGATGACGATCGATTGTGTTGTTATTTTCTTTGAACCTATCTACGTGACTTTACCGAAAGACCCAAAGAATATAAAAAGTTGCAGCTATTTTGCCCCTGTCTAAAAGTCTAAAACTTGAGCATGGGGCAGGGACACACGGTGAAAGCTTTGTTGTACGTGAGAGAGAGGAGGGGGGGGGTGGTAATACCACTTTAAATTAACCTTCAGGCGCGTCGCTGTTGGCCCACTGTAGTGCAGTCGAATCCACCTCTGCCCTCCCAATGTGTGTGTGGGGTCAGGTATGGGGAGCGGTGGTGTAGCGGTTAGCGCGCTACGCTACGCTACGAACGTGGCGACCCGGGTTCGATTCCCGCTCACGGCCAACACTGCCAGTGACGATTATGTGAACCGCTCCTGGGCCGTCCCTAGATCGACTCAGTCTGAAATGAGTACCTGGTGCGATGTGTCAATATCGCCACGAGGGAGACAAATGCGGACGGGCGTGGTGTTGGGAACCCACCCTCTCGTGTGCCGCTAACAGCACTTACCCCTAAAGTCTGTTAAGGCTATATGGGGGATCTTTGTCTTTTTTATGGTCAAACACCCCCCCCCCCCCATGATCGACGGGGACTTAGTAGTGGTGAGGCCCTCGTCCAGCGGTGGATTGACAAGGGGCTGATTTCTGCAAATTCGTCTCCAGCTCGAATCCCAACTACAGGTTGCAAACTCTGTAACATCGCACCTCTGCGAATTGGAGGTGCACGCTGTCGTGTAGGCAAGTCTGTGTTCAGTTGACCCAAGTGTGACTCACAACACAAGTGCCCCTCACATTAATCGCATGTCCTTTATGACCAAATTCGAGCTGCTGAGAAATAAAACGAAATGATCATCGGCCTCGTCGTCAGTAAAATAAGTTTCAATAAATAAGCGGGCCACATATCCCCCCCCTGTCGAATTGCCAACGGCATGTGATCGTAACCGTTGGGCCAGCGTCGACGTTCTCAATGTTGTCTGAGTCATTGACATATTTGTCCTTCCACGTTCAATTTACATCGATGCATTTTTACACATCCCATCAGTTAAAACAGCCTTCTGGGAGTACATCGTTTCAGCAGCGCTGGTTAAAAAATAAAGCAAACTGGACCGATTTCAACAATCAGTGTCTCATGCAGCAGAGGCGGGCTTGCCTGAGCCCCAATACTGGTGACCTGCCAGATATGTCTATAGGCAACTGTCCTCCCTCTTCTGCCTGCTGAGCTACGAGCGAGCGATCATCAGGTGAGCACAGTCCGAAGTAATCATGACTCACGGGGGTTGCGGTAGAAAGCGAGGTTAAAAAAGGTGCATCCTGTCCGTTAAACGCTGCACGCGCCCGATGTTTGCTTAACCGTCCCACGTGACTTAGAGAACGTTCGTAATAGAGGTTTTTGGGCTCGCATAATGCACATGCATAAGGTACGTTGTCTCAGTAATCCCCCCCCACATTGTGCAAGAGCGCAGAAGGGTGATCAACACATCTACGCCTCTATATAAGGAACTAAACAGTTAGACTTCTCCACAAATCTGGCTGTCGCCTGATGAAGCTAGTTGTAATAAACTGGCGAAACGTCGTACTCAGATTGTGAATGTTGTGGCTTGGCTCTCCAACACACCGGTGTGCTGTGCTGTGCTAGTGACGAATTGGCACGTTCTGTTTACGTGACAACCCTCACTAGTTGGCTGGTGGTGGCGGGCTTAACGACACATTTATATATTTACGCGATCTAACCCAAAAAAACCTCTATTATGGATGATATTAGTCGCGAAAGCCTACCACGTGTTAAAGAGAACGTTGATTCCATTTAAGAGCCGTCCGTCCCTACGTCGGGCTGGCGCTGTCACACTGCCCAGTTGGAGGTTCATGGTTCGAACCCGGCTGGCCGTCCTGGTTAGCACTGTGGTGTGTATTAATCATAACATACACGCCCGCCTGCTTTACAGGAGACGTTAAAGATCCAGTGACGTTATTTGAAGAACAGTAAACCACAACGTGTCGGCGTCATGATCCAGTTTGCTATTTGTTTGAATAATTAGAGTACTGTACTCTCAAATTACTTCATTTGGAAACGCATAGTAATCGTCGCCCCCGACTGCAAAGACTTATGAGGACCATCCTGTAGGGCTTTCCAGAGTAAACAAGTGCAATAAATACAAGTAAACATAACAAAACACGTACCATATTTTAATTTGAACGGGTTCCCTCTTTCATCACGTGGGGCGTGCTCATAAAGTATCGTGCACGCGCAACGGTGTAAACAACTTAATTTGTCTCTTTTAGGGGGGTTGGTTAACCTAATTAGTGATCACAAGATGGCAAACACTCCCACCTGGCTGGACTCTGAACGTAAAAAAGCAACCTCACAGTGTATGACATACGGGTGCATGAGCTCGTATGCTCAGATAAGATATCACATTTTGATTTAAAGCTTTCGTGACTGCAGGGATTCATATTCTTTGTTCTTTCGGTAAAGTCACGTAGAAAGGAAACAATAAAATGATAAAAATATAAAACAATAAAATTCTCACGACATTTCGACTGCAACACAAGCAATCATCATCAGGTGTGAAAACCACAGCTGTTTTTCACACCTGATGATGATTTATTGTTTGATATTTGTATTATTTTATTGTTTCCCTTCTACGTGACTTTATCAGGTGTGAAAACCACACCTGATGATGATTGCTTGTGTTGCAGTCGAAACGTCGTGAGAATTTGATTGTTTTATATTTTTATTATTTTATTGTTTCTCTTCTACGTGGTGACTTTACCGAAAGAACCAAGAATATAGCATAGCAGCTTGTATAAGTAGAGTCGCACTAATTTTCCCAAGAACTACATTTGTGGATATCCTCATGAGCTATGATCAATCCACTGCTGAACAAAGGCCCTCCCAAAGGCGTTATGATGTCTCATAGCTCGGTGCTTTAACAATAAACTTATTTCTGCAAATAAAAAAGGTAAAATCATAATGGGCTGTTCGAGGCAATTAAGAGGTCGCTGCGAGTGTTGTGGCAGTAACTTTCTTCACTGGAAGTTCTGTGCAAACTGTGTATCCTGTTGGGTTTAATACATCCCAACTCTGCACCCTCTTGTAAAATATGTTGAGAATCTGAAGCTCGGCTTTCCTGGATAAGCGAAGGCCTTTGAGTCTCTTGGAATTTCAAGGATGCACTCACTTGGTCGTAAAAGAGCACTGTATCTCAAACACCGTCTGCATGGAATTTTCCAAAAGCACACAACCCATCGATTGCCATTCTTTTTAACCAGGTGATTGGCCGTCCATACAGAATATTTCTTCTTGCAAGAGAGAGACCGGTCAGTTAGATTTACAGTACAATTTAAAAGTTCGAATTCCAACAGAGGATAGTCAAGCAATGCTGCACCAATAATGTAAAATGTACAGCCACTTTGTCAATGCACCGATGCATAAAGGCCTCTGCAAACCGTGTCGGTCATGGCGATTGTTTGACCATACTTCATCACGCTGGTCAGTGTGGGTTTGTGAAAGGGGGTCATAGCTAGAACCGGTTTATATGTAATTCGCCACTGATGTCAACCGGGACTGGGAATCGACCTCACGTTTCCACATAGCGTAG